AAGTCTAGTCTACCCATACCAAATTTCAGCTAAAAATTCAACCGGGAAGGCAGTCAAATGTTTTTTGAAGATAACTTCGCAGTTAAACAGCGCAGTACATTTCGGAAAATCATTTGACTGCCTTCCTGATTTAATTTTTAGTTGAAATTTGATATGTGTAAACTAGACTTAATGAAGAAGATGCTAAAAAAATTTCATCAAAAAATTCAACCGGGAACCTCTCCAATTGGCGATGGCCGGGCTGAACCTTCTACATCAGGGGTCAATTGAACACTTTAAGATAGTTCAAGAGCCTATTTGACCCTTCATTGTTAATAATATATATTTTTCTTTTTATTTTGCAATTCAGCTGTTTTTTGCATGGGAATTCAGGCCAACTGTTTTTTTGCAGGGAAATTCAGGCCAGCTCTCTTTTATTTGCACGGGAATTCAGACCATCTCTCTTTTATTTGCACGGGAACCATAGAATGAAGAGAAATGCGCTGTGTACACGGCGGGTTACACGCCCGTGTACACAGCATAAAAACCCCCCTTATATCGAAATGACCTACCCCTTCCCCTTCTACCGAAATAACCCAATAAGTCTGCTCGTTTTTTTACTGTGTATTTGTCTGTATCCTTATCTCTCTATACTATTCGTCCTCTTCCGCTTCAACAGACGATCATCGTGGATGCCCATACGTCTGCGATGGAAGCCGGTAACATAAGACGGAGCGTGTCATCCAAGGGGAAGAAGACAAGATGCCGGCTGTACGTGATGGAAGCCGGTGAACACAAGACGGAGAGTAATTATTGAAATTCGATGGAAGTCACTAAGTATCTCGGATGAAACCGCTCAAGGTAATAATATTCTGCCTCTCTACTTTTTCTCTAATGTGAGTTAAGGGTTTTGGATTTGTTATGTGAATGCTTACTATTTATTTTTTCAGTTTGAAATTCTAGTTTGGTGCTTAGAATATGTTCCTGAAGTTTTTTTTTTTTTTAAATCATATGTTCCTGAAGTTATTTATTGAACTATTTGCTTTCTTTTCTGGAATCTGTGGTGTTGATTATTGAGATTATTATCTAGACATTATATTCTATTTTGTTGCCCTTAAGGTGTTTGTTAAAAGGTTTAAATGAGTATAAGAAGCATGACTTCAATCAAGACAACTTTTAGAAGCATGAGATAATTTTTAGCCCTTTCTGCATTTCCTTTGACTGCATTTTAGCTCCTAGCATTACTTCAATCGGCTAGGACCATGACTTCAATCGAGACAACTTTCCAGGAATATTAGAAGCATGAGATAATTTTCTCGTTTCCATAATCAATAATACCGGAGGCCGGGGCTGTAATCGAGTTCATATACGTGCTAATCTTTTTTGTGCTTGCACCCAAGAATGAGAAGAAGAAAATAGGAGCACTTCTCATTTTAGTCCTTCCCATTGTTGCTTTACATGGAGGAATTAGGAACGTCTACTATGGTGTTTCCATCCTTATTTCCCATCATGGTAATTAGTCTATGGTGTTTCTAATGTTAATATGCAACTTAATTACTTAGTAATGGATGACTTTAATTTGATAACTAACAACCATTTCTGTTGACAGTACGTTCATTAGTTATGGATGACATTATTTGCATAGTTTTTTTTCTTTATCTTGATTGATAAATTTTTTTTATGTATAAATTTGTGAAAGAGATGAGCAAGATTAAAAAAGTTGAAGTCATTTGCCAATGCTTCATAATATGATGCGGACAAGGTAGTGAAAGAACTTATTAATGAAAGCTTATAAATATTTTAACTTGTTACTTTAAAAGGTGCTATAAATTATTTTATTATAATATTTTTTTTCTATTTTTTGTATGAAGGAAGGAGTAAAGACAAGAATCGATCGGAAATAGCCATTGCTTTCTATGGAACTCACAAGAAAGTCGATGCATACGAATAGCTGAAACTCCTATGAAGATCCTCCATAAATGTGAAGGAACTTACTAACTCAATGGAACAATGACTATCCTCAAGAATGTACTTATGATGAATGACGTGTTTGTAGTGATTCATAAGCTTACAATGTTTCTTGTTTAATCCTAGTCGTTAGAACATAATAAATTAGACCTAGCTTTGTACTTTTTAACTTAATTGATCAATGGTGATTTGTGGATTAGTGTTTAAAAAGTCATTTGTTTAACCGAATGGTTGCACATCAGTTGAATTCTATTATATGATATGAATCAAGAAGCATTTCATGTGTTCTTTTTGTAGTTGAAGTACTTATAGAAAGGTCGGGCTTCTTGTACATGTCTCATTTTGTCTGTGCACAAACATCATTTTTCATTTTCAAGGTAAAATGTTTGTGACACAGACAAATCAACTTGCTTGAAAAACAATTGCTTGAACACAGACACAAATAACTTTTTATATTGTCTGCTGCAAGACAAATTTATTTTTGTGTGCCCAAACATAAATAAATTTACGAATAAGTTTTGCGTATAAGTTTTGTCTGTGTACAAACAACTTTTAAACAAGTTTTGTCTGTGTACAGACAATTTATAATAAGTTTTAAGGTGAATTGTGTGTGATAGATAAAAAGTTGTGTGTGATTAAAACATTATTATATGTGTGTTCGTTTATTTTGTGTAAGCATAGTTGAAGCACCATCTATATTTTCGTTTATATTATTTTTGAGTGGTGAAAGTATTGTTTGTGTGTTCATTTATTTTGTCTGTTCTTGAACAATAATTGTTGCCTAATTTTGTTTGTGCATGGTTGAAGCATTGTCTGTGTATTTGTTTATTTTGTTTATAGAAATTGTCTACCCACAGACAAAATAAGCATGTATAAAAATTATCTGTATACAAACAATTGGTTAAAGTTTATCTTTACAAACTGTATTTGTCTGTGACCAAAAAAGAAAGTTTAAATATACTATCATTTTAATACAAGATAATTAACTGTGCAACATAACTAATTACAAAAATGAAGTATGAAATTATCATTTGCTTTAAATCTCTCATTCTTGACCTTCTAAATCCATTTCATGTCACGATTTGAAATATCACATGCCTTGCTCCCGATTGAAAAAGAGACATAGTTTTCAATCACAGGATTCACTGGCCTTCAAGATACTAGTATTGGTCACGAAGAGGTAGAAGATGTCCCTGAAGCAGTCACATGGTTAAAGCTGCTGTTAGTTTAAATATATATTTAATTTAAATGATACATTAACTTGACAATAAACAATAAACAAGTACTACGTAATATTCAAACCTCATTAATAAAGAAGTCATAGAGAAGACATACACAAGCTACTGGTACTTTACAAGATGCACTTACATAATTGTCAGACAATTTGACTGGCTACACAGACAAATTGAGTGGCGACTTATGAAGAAAACCGATTTTCACATAGACAAAAAAATGTCTGTATCACAGACACTTTATGAAAAATTCTGATCTAAAATGTTTGTGATACAGACAAATCTTTATATTTTGTCTGTGGAAATTGATTTTCTTCATAAAGCGTCGGTCAAATTGTTTGTTTATTAGATCAATTTTTTTGTATAAAGAGTTGTCTGTACACGAAGAGGGACTCTACATAATATACATTAAATCATGAAAACAAATAAATCACCAAAAATAGAATTGATTATTACCTCAATAATATCTCAAATCCATCAAACATACAAACATAATCACAAAAAAAGAGGGAAAGAACACAAAAAATTCGCAGAATATAATACGGAGTAGAAGAGTTCACTCAAGCATTTTAACAAACACCTTATAGGCATTAAAGTGAAATAGCATAGTTGAATAAAAATTTAAATTATAAGAAATCCATACTAATATAACAATGTAATAAGCATTCATCAATATCATAACAACACAAAATTACAGTAAAGGAAAAATTATAACCCTAAATTCATAAATACCCAAAATATATTATTTACCTCAAGTCAAGACCTTGAGAAAAAATCCTAGGTCAAAATGGAAAGGGAGGAGATAGAGATACTGAAGGTTGAAAATTGGAGGATGAAAATTGGAGGAGAATCTGTAAAAATATGGCTTTGGAGGGAGTTGGAGAAGAATGAAAATAATAGAGAAAAGGAGAATGGTACGAAGGTGTGGAGAATGAATTGAGAGTGGGAGGAGGAATTGGTTGAAATTGAAGAAATGGGTTGATGGAGATGGTACGAAGGTGTGGTCAAGAGAGAGAAGATAGAGAAATGCGAGAAAAGAGGGGAAATGGGAGAAAGTGGATGGGGTAAGAATTAAAGGAAGAGGGGGTTATATGCCGTGTACAAAAACGTGTACACCGGCGTGTACATAAGAGCATCTCCGATGGGAATGTCTACTCTCTTCCACATTCTTACACACGGGTCCCATTTTTTATCTCACAAATTTTATGTGTAGGACCTACATATCTCCACATTTATTTTGTTTTTCATTTTTCTATATCACTTTTAACCCACTTTTCATCCACTTTTACTCCTCGATTCCCGTGTAAAGTCTATTTGTGGACATTGTCATACACATTGTCTACAATTTACTCCTATCTCTCTCTTCCTTTTCATTTTTCATACACACCACTTTCTCCATATTAAATTAAAATAATCATTCTATCTCTATCTCTCTCCTATGCCACGTAGGATAGACTTTACTCCAATCCACTACCCCATTGGAGATGCTCTAAGGCATTTCTCTAGAATGAAAAGCCAACTTGTATTTTTACTGTGTATATCAATTACTCTTTCTTGTCACTTTCCTTAAAAATCTTCTCACTTTCCTTTTTTGTCCGTAACAAAAAAATCTTCCCATTTCTAAATCTTCTCATCATACCCTCAATAACTATCAAAATAATACTCCGTACACTATTAGAATTACTTTTTTGGATTTATCCTACATTCCATCACAAAAGTATCTTTCCATCATACCCTCAATAATTCATATCTTTTTTCACTATTTTTAATCTACCTACTTTTGAAATGAGAAGATTTTTAAGTATTTTGCTTTTAGATATAGGAGGATAAAGATTTTCTCTTTCCCTTTCAATCCCGTCCTGGTTGCCGCCAGAGATTCCCCTCTGGCTAAACGCCATGAACATCCGGAAGCACCACCACCATGACGGAGGCGATGGCAACCATACATTCCAGATCCGAAATTCCAATTCAGTAGTTTCTGAGATTGCCTGGTTTTCCCTTGCCGCCGCTATTATCAAGATCCTCCTAATCCCAGCTTACCACAGCTCTGATTTTGAGGTCCACCGCAACTGGCTCGCCATTACCCACTCGCTTCCTCTGTCTCAATGGTATGCCGACGAGACTAGCCCTTGGACCCTCGATTACCCGCCGTTATTCGCCCATTTCGAACACTTGCTCTCCTTCTTTGCCGCCATCATCGACCCTACAATGGTTGACCTCCACGGCGGACTCGATTACAAGTCTACAGCCACTATTCTCTTCCAAAGACTCAGCGTCACTCTATCCGACGTCGTTTTGGTATACGCAATTTACAGACTGTCCCGCAATCTGGAGCTCAGAGAGCGGATCTTGATGTGGGTGTTGGTTCTCTGGTCGCCTGGATTAATCATCGTAGACCATTTGCATTTTCAGTACAATGGGTTTCTCTTGGGGATTCTTCTGCTTTCACTTTCTGCTTTAGAGGAGGGAAAAGACTTGCTGGGAGGGTTCTTGTTCGCAGTTTTGCTTTGCTTTAAGCATTTATTTGCGGTGGCTGCCCCTGTTTACTTTGTCTATTTGTTGAGGCACTATTGCAGGGGTGGATGGTTTAAGGGGATTGGGAGACTGGCATTGATGGGCAGCGTGGTCATTTCTGTTTTTGCTGCAGCTTTTGGACCATTCATGCACTATGGACAAGTAATTTCTGTTGCATAACTAAAAAATATCTTCTTTAAACTTATTATGAAGTTGTGATCACTATATGCATACAGTTTACTTGAATGTAACTTTACAGATGTGTTCTCAATGTACTTTGCTGACCAATTTGTGAACTATACACATTTACAGATACATCAAGTCCTAAACCGCATGTTTCCTTTTGGTAGGGGACTCTGTCATGCATATTGGGCTCCAAATTTCTGGGTGTTCTATATACTTCTAGATAAAGTAGTTGCTTTTATACTTACGAAATTTGGATTCACAATCTCAGCGCCAACTGCTTCATTCACCAGTGGGCTGGTGGGTGATTCTTCACCTTTTGCTGTACTACCCAGGGTAACCATTCTAATCTTTTCTTACTGAATTTTTATTAACCTTCATTCAGTGTCTGTTTGGTAGCCACAGTTTTCAGCTTAGCAGTCTTATCGTCTAGATGTTTTTACCAAAGACTAACTTTTTCGACTCTCTGCTTCTGAATTGGTTAATAACGAAAATATTAGGAAATTAGGAATAAGTGAACTTTTTGGCCAAAGTTGTTGAAGATCATCACTTTACCTTGTTGCTATGTCTTTATTTTACACATAAAACATGACTTAAATGTTTCTTTTCACAATTCATCAATTTCAGTATCGTTATCAAAATACGAAACCAAGTTTAGTAATTCAAACCAAATTCACCTTAGCAAAAGGGCTTTTAAGCTGTCATCTCATAAAAGACAGATTTATGTTTGAGCAATGTCCAAAATGTTGCATGATGGGTCCTTGCCGACCTCTAGAAATTATATCGATTTGTTAGCTTCGTGTTTCTTATATCCAAATTCAGGGTGGTGATGATCACGTTTCAGACTACATTTAACTGCAGGTGACTCCATTAACCACATTTGGGATGGTCTTGCTGGCATTAATTCCTTCTCTTGTAAAGGCTTGGAAAGATCCCAAACCAGGAATGATCACTAGATTGGTAGCCTATGCTTACACATGTGGCTTTATGTTTGGTTGGCATGTCCATGAGAAGGCATCACTTCACTTTGTGATACCTCTAGCTGTTGTTGCCAGTAAAAGTATGGAAGATGGAAAACACTATTTCTTCTTATCAATAGGTAATTTACTCCAATCCTTGTAGAGGTGTTTTTCAAGTGTTTATTTAACACAACAGAATGTGCCGAGTTGTTTTGTATTGCATTTTGTTTTTGAACTTTTATACAGATTTTGTTATATGGATTAAATTGGCAGGAGTGCATAACTCACCAAAGACCATAGTTACAATATTATTTTAATTTTATTTGTTTTGGATATAGATGTATTTATCGAAAGACTAATGTGACTTCAATCTTTATGCAGTGTCTTGCTATTCGTTCTTCCCGCTCCTATTTGAAGCTCAAGAATATCCCATTAAGGTTCTCTTACTGCTTTTACACGTTATAATTATGTGGTTGGGATTTTCCTTTCAACACTTCTCCAACAATAATGTCTCAAAAGAAGCGGCTGTAGGGAAGAGATGTGATGAAGGGGAAACTTGTATTATTGCTTCAAGGAATGTGTGTTTCCAAATTGGATTTTTGGAAAAGATTTATCTGTTGGGTCTTCTCGCCGTGGAGGCATGGGGCCTGCTTTTTCACCGCCTCATCCTCGGCCAGAGGTTTCCCTTTTTACCCCTTTTGATGATCTCTGCATACTGCTCCATAGGAATGATGTATTCTTGGATCTGGCAAGTTAATAAGATTTTCCAGTCAAATTGACCCTTTTTTCACTTGAATGGTTTTACATGCTCGATGAAATAGAATTTTACTGCAGATTAGGGTTCAGTAACTTTATTTATTCATTTATTCTGTAAAACATTTCTTCAAGCTTTACGACATGAAAATATGTATATGAGACTGCTTCGCAAAATCTTAAGAGCATATTCCTTGAAAATCCGGTATGTTTTTTACTCTTGTTATTTAGACTAGTTTTTTAAAATGCACGCTGCGTAAATGAGATCGTGCCCAATATTATTTATGTTGTGTATACTCTATTAATTTTTTACGGGGAATTTTCGATGGTATCTTCCTTAATAAAGAAGGTACTGGTACACAAAGTTTTTTAGCCAATCATATAGCCACGTTACCTTCCTAGTCATATTAATAGACCAAGTTTGGTTATTTGTAATTTAGTCCCAAATAAAGACGCAGTGAACAAGCCTAGGCTGAAAACGTATTAAATCCTTCTGCACCATGTTTTTGTTATTCATTATTCATTTATTTAACATTTTAACATATATATATATGAATATATGTTTACTTTGGTATTGATATACTACGGAGTACGGAGTATGAAATTATGAATTGTTACAAGAATAATAATTGGTTGTGTCATAAATAGAGCTGAATTGAATGCTGCTGCACCGGTCTAAGAAATTGGGTTCGGTTATTTCTCTTCTTGGGATGAAAACCAGCTATTTTTCAAAACAAGTCATCTCAAACAAACTCTTACACTTAACACTCCCTAAAACAAAAAAGTAAACTCAGTGATTCTTGAAAACAAATCATCCCAAACATTCTTTTGAACTATTGATTTACATACCTTAGTATTTAAAAATGATTTTAATCACATAATTGTAAAAGCCTACACAATTTCATGCTTGGGGAGTATTTGAGTACATATTACTCTCTCTCTCACTCCGTCTATGATTGTCCCATTTTTCCTTTCTTGTCCCGTATCATTTTAGTGATATTTGTGTGGTTTTAATTCATTTTTATTTTATTCACAGTTTCACACTTGACCAATTTAATATCACCTACATGATTTAACTTTTTAAAACACTACACCACTTCCTCTTGTCCCAGTCTCAAATTATCAATCTTAGGGAACAGAAGTAGTAGTTCATTAGAATGAGGTTATGCAGTTTCCTTGGACCATTTGCTTTCCTTCTTAAAATTCACATTTAACTACTTCTAGAGACTTTGTGCACTCACATTAAAAAGGAATGGCTTAGTCTAACCAACCTTTGACTAGTGATATGCGAGCCGTAGTCATCCTTGTATCTCAATCCCAACTATTACCTTTGAACCAAATATTACCACCCATTCCAGTCTCTTGATTTCTCATGGTTTAGGTGGAATGAATTAAAGAGACAATATGACACTTTACAGTAAATTGATAGTAGCAGCTTATGTCCAACATTTCTTGGGGCCTATCATGCTATATAAGAAGAGCAACACAAACAACAATACAGCTTAATATGCTAATCTATTACGTAGTATTACCGAAGAAGAATATAAGCAAAGCACTTTCAAAATGATACAAGTTCAGCAAAACTTTCTCATTACCAACCTCAACAAAGCATTGCCTAAGCAAAAACATCCGAAAAGCTTGAATTTTGTGCAGGAATCTGAAGTATAGAGCATAAATTGAGGTAAAGTAAGGATAAAAAGTAAGCCAAGAATGCCGCGAGCAATAGGAATTTACCTCGTTGTTAGAGAACTCGGAAGCATATGGCAGAATGAAGTTGATTTTGAGCTTGGATGGGATAGCGGGTGAGATTGGCGGCCGATATTTCATGAAGGAGAGGGGAGTCTTGGGAGGATCAAGTGATCAACGGAAGGAACCACCCTTCTCCAGGCGGATACAAAGGCTTCGTTGGCCGACGGCGTGGAGAACTGTCACGACGATCTTACAGAAGAGGATGATCGATCGGTTCCATAAGCGAGTAGCGGCGTGACGGAACATAATGGAGTGAGCACAAGTCGTGGGTCGCTCGGCTCAAGACTTAGACACCGGTCGAGTCGACCCGAGGCGGCTCTCTATCTCTCCCTCGCCATCAAGTTCTTTTCTTTGGCAGTTTTAACTTTATACGAGTATTACGGAGTACTTAAGTACTTTAGTAAAAAAAGGTGCGAAATTTTTGCTCATTTTAATCGGTAACTAGTATGTTACCCGTGCAATGTACGGACAACATTATTTTTTACATTTTAGAAATGATACGTACATATTGGAATTAATTAATAAAAAATATTTTTATTCTAATAATATTGAAAGACATATATGATGTGAAAAAGAAAATGTATGAATACATAACATTTATTGTGGAACTACTCAATGTAATAATATTTTTAATCTTTCACATTTTCACTTATCAACATTTTTGACACATCATTCTTATAAGACAAGTTGTTTATCAAATTTGTAACTTTTGATTTTCTATGCAGAATTATGTAAAAATCACAATATGACCATCGTCTTCATTAGCCCAGTGTCACAATCTTACCGTGTATTAATGTACAAAGAGACTATTTCCGGATGACTCATAGTGTAAACCACGTCGAAAATTGCATGTAATGATTGTTGCTTCATAATCAAGCAGCGCAGACAGTTTAGTGAACCATTTTGATTCATTCCATCATATTTCAAACCAAAAAATAGCGAGTCTTTAGTTCCATAGAAAGTGGTAACAATCAAAATATATAGGAACAAAATTAACTGTCTTATTGAGTTGTTTAAAATGGCTGAATAAGGCTATTTTAGATATTTTATATATATTTTATTTAATTGATTAATAAAACCATTTTACATACAATGTTTCACATTCAAATCATTTTTTGGAAAACAATTTAATTCATTTAATCAGTTGAACTAATACATTGTATCTTTACCAAGTTTTTTTTTAAATATATGGAGTATGAGTGATTCTATTTACAGCCCCCAAATTGCTATTCACAGCCCCTAAAATAATTGAAATGTCTAAGTCACCCTCAAGTAATCGTCGTCCTTTCTAACAAGCAAATAACTATCGTTAAAATAGACCAGAAATATGAACTTGATAAGTTAAATTGATGGTGGTGGATCAGTGACTGCAGTAGGCATTATTGAATCAGGTGAAGGGGTTGTGGCCGTTGTGCAGAGAGAGTTCTTCGGAAATTCCCGAAACAAAAATTGATGAAAGATATAAGGAGTTGAAGAGCCAAGGCATGGGCCCTTTTACATATCGGAAAATTTCGATCGTCACTTAGAATAAGTCTCGAAAATTTTGAAGAGAAAAGCTTGAAAGAAGAGAAAAACACGTACGGTGGATTATCGATAATGGAAACACATGTGTTACACTGTATTAGCTTTTTGGAATAAAAATTTTCAACCAAATAAAAAAGGATTCATAGAAACTCCACTTTTACACATGTAAATCTGTGATTCTTGACATTTGTTCAGAGGTAATGTTTTTAATTTGAGATTCTTTTACCCATATACGGAGTATGATATACCGATAGTACTACTATGAGCTATGAGAATTTGATGCGGGCTGCCACTTCGAGTTCCTTGACAGCCTATGAGTTGTATTAGGGGTATAATGGGATTATAAAAAATATGTGGCTGTATTAGTAAATGTGTGGCTGTGAATAGAATTTCCCATGAAGTATTTATGTAGTACTCCGTACTAAACATAACATCATATTTAGATAGTCCAATTGACCTCAACCCATATAATTTCAGCCCATGTATACACTCTCCTAGCCCAATTACAACCACTCCTAGTCCTAGTTCGTTTCTTTACCTATATATTATTGTCCAAATATTTGAATATTAGTCATATATCTCCTCGGCTGTTAGCTTGCGTTGCTATAGGTTGACTCTTCAAATTAACATACGCAGCATCCGATTCTTTTTATTTGTCAAGGGGCATCTAATCTTATAATCTACTTCCTCCGTTCTTTTTTAGTTGCAACGGTCAACATTTCACACTTGTCAACGCATGTCTTTGACCGTAATTATATCTTAATCTCTATTAGTAAAAAATATTTAAAAATTAGATTTTGAAAATTTGTAATGAGATGAATTGAACAATATTTTTTTTAAAAATAATTTTCATAAAATAATAATATAAAATGTAGTCAAAATAGAACATGTGAATAGTATAAAATTCAACATGTTGCGATTAAAAAGAGACGGAGGATAGTATTATTTTCGTTTACAATATAAAACGGAGTATATATTATTGCATGATTTTAGTTGTAGGTTTTTGTGATAATATAACTTAGAAACTATTTTTATAGTTACAAACTCATTTTGTATTTTGCTATCATCACAGCATCAATAAGATATGCGTTTAATAAAAGAACTGTTTTTTATTGTTATCTAGTGAGATATCTTGTTAGATCTAATTGATTGAGAAGTGATCATTTACATATATATGTCATAACGGGCTTTTTACAAGAATATTATTAAAATTAAACTTATTTACAAGAATATGACTATTCATTACTACAACGTAGTGTTGTGGTAACTTAAGTTCAAAACTTGAACCTGAATTACTATGATTTCATTACTACTCTAGTAAATAGTCATATTTTTGTAAACTATCTTTATTTTAGTCATATTTATGTAATTATTTCTATTTTGTTTGTGAACACATTTAGTTAAAACTACAGAGGGACATACAAAATAGCCATGATCTTATAAACTCATATGAACAACATAGACCATCCTTTCAGCTTATCTCTAATTTGACACGCACAACTTTCTTGTTCTTCTTTCCTAATCCTTTTAGTTTGTCACCATCCATCTCAACAGCCCTTTTACCTCCCAATCTTCAATCATCATCGAAACCTGGGGAATCATGCTAGTAAGGTCATTTTTCCTTTTACTCATTCCCCTTTTGACAATAGGGACCTTATTCCTGACTGGTCATTAAAAATTTAACAGCAATTGCGTTCAAATAAAAGTTCATAAAAGTATGTACATACCTAACTTGGCATGATAAGTTCCCAGTTTGTTTATGAGTGAATTTTTAGAAGGATAAAAGCAAAATCACCTTTCCTCAAACTATGATTTTGAACTTGTGCCAAGAACAAACTTTCTTGTCTATTAAATGTATATAATCTTCATAGAAAACCCATCATTGTCTTCCCTTGTATTTATTATGTATGCCTATAATACTATATACCGAAGTATATAGTATTCTTTGAGTAATGCAAACATATAAATCTTTTCTTTCCAGATCTACCCTAAATTCGGTTGCCA